GCCAAGCTTGCGCACCTCTTGTTGCAGGTGGGGGGGCCCCCGGGGGCCAGGGAGATCCCCGAGGAGGCGCAGGCACTGCTGGTGCTGCAAGAGAGGCCGGAGCTTGGGATCCAGCTGGTGCCCGAGCATGTGGAAACTCGGCCCCTCTACCCTCCCCGCAGCCCAGGGCTGCTGCAGGCGAGGGAGGGCTCAGCACCCAACCCCAGAACCCCAGGATTCCCACCTGCTCCTGGACCCTGGGCCCTCGGGATGCCCTTTCCCCAAGACCTCTACTGACCACTTCCGATTCTGGCTCCTGATCCTGGTCCCCAGCATTCCCACTCCAGTCTTAGACCCTCATCCTGGACTCCATACCTCCACCCCTGACTTTGTCCCTGCAGGATCCCCCACCCCGGGGCCCCCAAGGCTCAGACCTGGCACTCCCAATCTGACCTCAACACCAGGTCCCTAGGATCTGGACCTTGGGAACACCAGATCTTACTTTTGACCTCAACCTTCCACTCCAGGGCCTGATCCTTAACCTCAGCACTGGAACCCCCACTTCAGACTCTACCTTCATTTCCCGCCCACACCCCCCACCTGCCACCCCGGGATCTACCCGACTGTGCCCTCTTGACCCCAGCTCTTGCCTCCGTCAGGACAAGGCACAGCCTCTAGCCACAAGGCTATCAGGGGAGGTGAGGTCCTCAGTGGGACCCTTCAGCCTGGTCCTGTGTTCCCAGGGATCCCTTCACATGTGGACCGATATCTTCCCCCGTGATGTGCCTGCCCCACCCCCAGCTGACATCAAGCCTCGACAGCCAATCAGGTGAGCGCTCTGACCCTTCCTCCCCTGGGACAGGCACAGGCTGGTGACTCAGGCTTTTCAGTTAGGTGAGCCATTAATTTCCCTTCCTTCTCATAAGCCATTGTGAGGAGGGGCTCTGTCACTTGTAACCAAAAGAGCTTAAATACCAATAAACCCCCTTCGGACTTGAGCTCGTCAGAGTGGAGTTGTGCGTAGGGGATTCATACTTCAGATGTCCGCAATCTGTCACTTTCTCCCTCTGGGCTCTGCTTTCCTTGCTGTCACTCTCAGGGCGGCTTCTGCAGTCTGGGGGCAGGGTGGCTGCTGCTAACAGTGCCAGGCTTACATCTACCAGCTAGACTCCTTGAGCAGAAAAATAAACACGTCTTTACTGGCAAGAGCAAAAGTCTCGAGGCTGACTCTCCTCGGATCAGCCTGCATCGAATGCTGATCTCTTAACCAATCCTTGTGCTTGGAGGGCTGGGATACGCTGATTGGCCAGTCCTGGGTGATGGCCTAGGGGGTGTCGCCACCTCTGGAGCCAGGGGGAGGTGGGTCTTCCCCACTAGAATCACACAGACTGCCAGTGTGGGGGTCGGGGGGGGGCTCACCAACAGGAAATCACGATGCTATCAACAAATGAGGGGAAATTGCTGGCGGGCAAGAGAAAACGAGATAGCCCGGAAAACCCATGACAGCCAAGGACAGGGCTATTTGGGGTAGCACAGGAAAGCTGGAGCCCCTCCTTCTGCCCCTCAGGGACTGCTCGCTCTCATCCCCACTTTGTCTCTCTCCCCCTCCCACATGTCGCTGCAGACTGGCTTTCTCTCCCCTGTACCCTAGAACTGCAGCTTGCATGTCACCCTGGCTGGTGGCAGCTCCAACTCTGTGTCTGATGTTACTCAACGTTTCAGGCTCCGGATTCCAAATTTATGGGAGAAACTAGTTAGCCCAGCTTTGGTCAACAGACCATTCCTGGTGCCATCTGCTGTGGTGGGGGTGATCCCCTTAAGTCCCACAGACATCCTGATCACCCAGCTGGGCACATGGAGGTGCTCAGTGAACGTGATGGCCATGGCCTAGGTCCTTCCTGCTTCCTGCAGCCCCTGTCAGGACCCCCTCAAGAGTCTGCAAACTCTCTTCCACTATATCCCCCAGCTATGAGCTCAGAGTCATCATCTGGAACACGGAGGACGTGGTTTTGGATGATGTGAACCCACTCACTGAAGAGCTGTCCAGTGACATCTAAGTGACATCCTCAGTGGGACCCTTCAGCCTGGTCCTGCAGGTCTGGGACTATGACCGTGTCTCCGCCAACAACTTTCTTGGTACGGCTTGGCCTTCCTCCTGCCTCACCCCCGGGGCCCCAGTTTCTGCCCCCGTTGCCCCTGCCCCTCTGGCCCATGGTTCCCTACTCTAACCCAGCCCTGAATCCTGGGTTTCAGACCCTAGGTCGCTAATCTTGGCTTTCTGGCCTCATTACTGAACTTAGCCCAGAGCACAGTGACCTCCATTCCCACCCAAAGTCCCCGATCCAAGGTCACTTTGGACTCTGACACCGTGGTCCCTGCTTTGGCATTCTGGCCCCATCCTTGGCCGTTTGGCCAGGCTCTGATAAGCTGCTGACGCGTGGGCTGTGCTTCTGATGCCCCCAGGCATAGTCCTGCTGTGCGGCCTCCTCCCCCGGGGCCCAGACAGACCTTGATCTCTCGCCTAACCCAGGGGGCTCTGGACTTGCAGGATCCCTGGAGCTGCAGCTGCCAGACATGGTGCGGGGGGCCTGGGGCCCCGAACTCTGCTCCGTGCGGCTGGCCCGCGACGGGGCCGGGCCCAGGTGCAACCTCTTTCGCTCCCGCCGCTTGTGGGGCTGGTGGCCTGTGGTGAAGCTGCGGGAGCCAGAGGCTGAGCCCGGGGAGCAGCGGGAGGCTCCAGCGGGCAAGAAGAGGCGGAGGAAGAGGAGGAAGGACCGCCGGAGGACTTGGCGTTCACAGACCCTGGAGGCGACGTCCACATCCTCACGGTGGGTGCGGCGGGGGGGGGGGTGGGGCCGGGCCTGAGCCCCCCTCCGAGCGCCGCCTCTGTTCCCCCTTCTCTAGGGGAAAGTGGAGGCAGAGTTTGAGCTGCTGACCGCGGAGGAGGCGGAGAAGCGGCCGGTGGGGAAGGGGCGGCAGGAGCCTGAGCCCTTGGACAAGCCCAAGTGAGGGGGCAGCACGGGAGGCGGGGATCGAGCCGCGGCGGCCCAGGGGCTTCCTCGGCGTTCCAACGCCCCCCTCTCCCCCCGCAGCCGCCCGAAGACCTCCTTCAGCTGGTCTGTGAACCCGCTGAAGACCTTCCTCTTCCACAGCTGGCGCTGCTGCTGCTGCTGGCCCGGCTCACCATCTTCCTCCTCCTGGTCGGCTACACCATGCCCAGCCAGATCAGCCATGTCACCTCCCGCCCCCTCCACCAGCCCTGACCCTAACCGACCATGGACCCTCTTCCCGGAACCCCAGCCCCTCACATCCCTTTCCTGGGGAGTCCGTCTCACCGACACAAGCTGTCTGAGTTCACTGCTTTCCTTGAATAAACTTGACTGTGCCTCCCCTCTGACGCCTGGACATAGCTGTACGTGGTAATACAGGGGGCGGAAAACCGAAATGTTCCTGGGTGACAGGTGCTGGGGAGTCACCCAGGGGTGGGAAGCTGCCCCGAGGAAGAATGGGACCTGGCAAGAAGTTCAAGGAAGAGGAGTCCTGGCCACTGAGCTGTCATGCCCTCTGAGCAGCCTACCTGTTGCGCCTGCTCCTGACAATGACTGGGTCCCTTTCACTTAACCTGCTATGGCTTCTGCCACCCATTCCGTGACAGCTAAGCACTTTGCGTACGTCATTAGCTTGTTTATTCTTCCACGCTGAGAGTAAGCACATCAGCACACTTTTGGTTGCAAAGAGAAATCCCAACCCAAGCTGGCTTAAGCAAAAAGGGATTCTGGGGAGCCGGCATAGCTGCAATTCCCAGGGTTTAGCTGGCAGCTTGTCACAGGGTTCAGATGATGTCACTAGGACTGGTTCTCCGCCTCTGGGCTCAGCTCTGCTGCCCTCTGGGGGCTAGCTCATTTGTAGACAGGGTCCGCCCTCAGAACTGCAGGATGGCAGCACTAACCTCACGTCTGCCCACATTCACATCCAGGAGAAAGCTTTCCTAGTCCTGAAGGAGCCTGGCCCGCACTGGGTCACTGGGGGTGGGAGGGTGGGGTGGGGGGTGGGCTATGCTGATTGGGGCCTCCCTGGAGCTTAGGGTGGGAGATCAAACCTCCTCCCTAACACAGAAGCTGAGAAGGTAGACAGGGAGGTTCCTAGAGGAAATTCAGGACACTCTTGACAAGTAGGAGTGGTTTCTGGCTGACCAAAAAAACAAGGCTCACTGTAACTGGCAATCTGATCTGCAACTTACAGAGGAAACCTGGCCAAGGTCACACAACTCATGAGGGATCCCATCAGAGCTCAAGCTCAGGTCTTTCTGCCTCTAGATATTTTGCTCTCATCGTCCTACTTCGCTTCCTGTCCTACTTCCCTCCCTACTACTGTCTTACCCAGACACTCCCTGAGAAACGATCGGATGAACTGACCAGCCGTAACGTCCCTGCTTCCCCGGGCTGCCGCGCGGTGGGGTCCTGGGCCTAGCTCTGTGCACACATTAAGGGCTGTGATGGGAAGCCCTGATGAGCTCCAGAGCTGGGGGTCTGACGCTAGCCCTGCTCCAGAATGGCCACTGCTGCCCTCCTTCCATTTTCCAGTTCTGCCTCCACCTAGGAGATTGCACACGACCTGGTTGGACCCCTCTCAGTAGACTGAGCCCAGGGTGGCAGGGAGAAGCCCCAGAAGAGGTGGCAAGCCCCAGCCTGCACCCAGGGCTAGTACCCCTGGGGTCAGACCATCATGAGCCTGAGGGCCATGGTGGCTCCAGGAAGCTCATACGGGAAAGGTCCATCTCAGCCCTGGTGCTGAACCCAAAAGGCCCGAAGACCACCGCAGAAGAGGGACTGAGGACAGGGCTGTGGGATGGACATCCGTCTGGTTTGAATACAGCCCTATGAGCCAGGGGATGTCCACGTGGGGCTCCCAGAGGGCATCTGGCCCGATCTGTCAGTCCTGACTGCCTTCAGTAAGTAGCTGTGATGAGGGGTTGTTTCTAGGCTCTGGCCAGACGCAAGAAGCACATGGAGACCAGCAAGTACTATCACAATCAATAGATTTATCAACCTGCACTGAGACTGGCGCTGAGTGGGGGTGGGGTGGGGAAGAGGCTGGGAATGACCACAGGGCCAAAGAGAAACACGAGAAGAAGAGAATAACAGAAGGGGAAGGAGACAACTACGTTGTCTTCCCGAGATCAATTTTCTTCTGGATGGCTCGAGCCGAGTGGTAGATGAGTGAATCGATGAGTCCAGCCACTGGGGAGAGACACAAGGGCTGGCACTGGCCCCGCTGGCCCCTTGGCTGGACCCCAGAGCCTTGTCCCCTAACCGGCTAGGCCAGCATCTGCCCTTGGCCGTTGAGGTGCCCCTCCGTCCCCAACTAAAACTCTGGCAGGGAGCCCGGGCTTCACATGCCCCGCCACGCCCCAGCCCCAGACAGACGCCCTGGAGCTTCTAACCTGTGAACATGCCCCCGATGATGGCGCACACGCCCGTCAGGAAGTGCGTGAAGGACCTGGCGGAGGGACGGGGCGGGGGTCAGTCGGCACCCCTCCTCCCCGCAATCCCGGGCCCCTCCCTTCCGCCACCCTCACCTGTGCTTCTCTGTCAGCTTCACCATCATGGGCGACAGCTCATACAGCACGAAGACTCCGGGAAGCCCCTGGTCGCCCATCAGCCCATTGGCGACCTTCTCGTGTCTGGTCACAGAGAACTGATTTGTCCTCAGCACCTGGGACAGGAAGGGAGTCTGGGCCGGGGCCGAGGCTGCGACCTGGCTCCCAACCCCCTCAGCCCTACGCCTGCTCCTGCCCTTGTCCGGAGCGCCCGGACTGTGTGGGAGAGAAAATGAGGCCCCAGGTTGCTAATGAACACCACAAGGCCCGGGGGCCACCCAGACACACTCTCAGCCTCACCGCCCTGGCTTCTGGTCCCGATCCCGGCTACAAGGGGCGGATCCTCTCAGCGCGGGTTCAGGGATGGGAAGCACCTCGCCAAGGCTGCACCATGAGCTCCTGGCAAGGCCAGGCCTGACTTCCTGTCTGCCGAGATGCTGCTCCACGGGCCAGAGCAGAAAGGGGAGGAGAGGACCCGGGAAGGGTTAGCCCCCAGCCCAGGGCAGACCGCGGGGACAGTGAGCACCAGACGAACAGATGGAGGCAGTGAGGGCAAGTAGAAAGTGCGAGTGCTTTCAAGTCTGACAGCCTGGGCCCTGCACTCTGGCTGTGAGGGTACATCACCTACCCCCCGCCCCGGCTTGTCATCCATCATACGGGGATAAGAGCAGCACCCCACTTCCCAGGTCGGCAGGACTCAAGTGCTTGGCACCAAGAGGGACTCTGATACCTGAGCTCCTGCAGACTCACCTCCCCGTCTACCTTCATGTACACTGTGGGTACCACCTTCACGAAGTACTGGAACATCATGGAGGCTGCAGGGAGAGGAGAGCACCAGGCATGGGTGCCGGGCAGGGCTTTGGCAGCTGGGGGCTACCTCCCAGGCTGGTACCTTGGGGTGCGGTGACGTTGGTGCGGTCCAGGGGGTTCACAATGCCAGGGTAGTCCTCCCCGAATGACAGGTGCCGGATGTGGTGGGTCATGTTGATCTGCAAGCAACACCAGCACCTGAGCCTCAAGCACTCAAGGCCCCACCAGGCCTCACCCTATCAAAGGTCCTCGGGACAGCAGCAGACAGGATGCCCGGGTCTGGGGAGGGCATGTGTGGAGACGGGGGAGAGGGGGAGAGGTCCGGCCTGGGAGAATGTGACCAACCCAGGCCCCTCCATACCCCATCTGGGAACTCCTTTCTCACAGAGTCCACAGCCTCTGGGCCTCTAGTTTGAGGTTCTGGCCGCATCCAAGCACAAAGCAAGTAAAGGCTGGGCACGGACAGGCTGGCAGGTGTCCGCTCTGCCTGGAAGTCTCAAGCAAGGGGAGCCTGGACTGGGTGGGGGGAGGCGGGCAGATGTCCCGGCTCTGACTCCTGTCCTGTTCCAGTCTTTATTTTTGTTTTTTTTTAAAGATTTTATTTATTTATTTAAGAGAGAGAGAGCATGAGAGGAGAGAGGGTCAGAGGGAGAAGCAGGCTCCCCGCTGAGCAGGGAGCCCGAGGCAGGGCTCCATCCAGGGACCCCAGGATCATGACCTGAGCCGAAGGCAGTTGCTTAACCAACTGAGCCACCCAGGCGCCCCTTTCCAGTCTTTATTAACTTCAGCCATTAGAGGGGTTTTTAAAAACATGCAAATCTGATTACATCATGACCCTGGTTAAAGGGTCAATAGCCTCCACCACCCACAGGAGGGAGACCCAACCACTGCTCAGCCTGAGGCTTGTGAGGTCTGGTCCAGTCCGAGCCAATCTCTCCAGCCTCCTCCTCCACACCGGCCGCTGTGGGTTCTGAGAAGTGCTCCACTCCCTCCTGACGTTGCCGGAGGATCCCTCTGCCCAGGACACTCCGGTCCAGCCCCGTCCCCCATCTCCGGCCTGTGCAAACCTCACTTCTTAACCCTCAGACTGATCCCCTGGCAGAATATGGTATATTTTGGGGGTGCCTGGGTGGCTCAGTCAGTTAAGCGTCTGCCTTCGGCTCAGGACATGATCCCAGGGTTCTGGGATCAAGCCCCGCATCGGGCTCCCTGCTTCCCGGGGAGCCTGCTTCTCCCTCTCCCTCTGCCTGCCGCTCCCCCTGCTTGTGCTCTCCCCCTCTGTCAAATAAATTAAAAAAAAAAAAAAAAGAATATGGTATATTTTTATCTGCTCCCCCATCCCAGGACATCCCTACAGAGACACGAAGGTAGCAACCATCTCCCACGCCCATCCGCTCTGCATGGCTTCCGGCTGGTACGTACGTTGTCGAGGCCGAAGCTCTGCAAGTCATGGACTAGAAGAGAAGGGAGAAGATGTCACCAGGTGGAGAGGACTGGCCTCCTGGCTCCCTGAGCGTCCTTGCTCAGGCCTCCTCACCCCTCTTGGAGTGTGACTGCCCAGCTCCTATGACCCTTCATCCCCCGTCAGTCCCGCCTTGGGCCTGTGTGTGAGTCTACGCCCTCCTCGGGCCTTAAGAACACAGACCCCGATCCCCTTCTGACACATACAGGGAGCCCTCCACGGGCGTCTCCCGGGTTTCCACTCCCACCAAGTCCCTGCTTGCACCTCAGGAGACAAACCCCGCTGACTCTGGTCTCTCACTAAATACAGCTGAGGGCCAATCGCTGAGCCCCAAGGTGAGGTGGGCCCTGAGAAGGCGGTCTTCCCCGACCCCTGTGCCCTGCACCCTCAGAGCCCCCAAAGGAAATGCCATGGGTACCCTGTACCGTCTATTCCAGAACCAGTGCTTCCTGCCCTCTGGCCCTGATCTCTCCTGCTTCAAGAAACCCTACCTGAAAAGTAAGACCCCAATCCCAGGACCATCCAAACCTCCCCCCCGTCCTGGGAGGGGTAGACTGCCCCAGAAGCGGAGGCTTGGCCTCCCTGTGGGCAGGGCCACTTACTCTCCACAGCATGGACTGCAGCATGGGGGAGGGCAGGAGAGAGAAGGGAGGAAGAAAAAAAAAAAAGAGAGCTTTACAACGAGAACTACGGAGTAAGACACACGGTAGAAAGGAAGGCTGGAATATTCCTGCCTCAGCAGCAGGGTCTGGACCCAGCTAACAAGCCTCCTCCCAGTCCCGCCCCTAGGGGAACTCTTCCCTGGCCAGGGAGGAATGCAAGGGTTCTTGGGGGCAGAAGTATGGTGGCCTAGGAAGAATAAAAGATTTAGAGCCCAATAAGCCACTTCCCTAAGCTGTGTGACCTTGGGCAAGTCACTTGCCCTCTCTGGGCCTCAGTGATTTCTACAAAGGGCTGTCCTGAGGACCAGACAGGATCTAAGATGGAAAAGTACGAGGTAAACTTTATAATCCGCCCCCCC